CGAACAAAATATATATGAATAGTTCATGCTGAAAATTCTTTTCATGATACAATTTTTCCCTAAAGTTGGTTTAAAGTTACTAGGACTTCAGCTTTCATTCAGTGGAGTCTAGATTTGAGTTTCTACCAAACTCTCAACGTCAGCGCAAGTAAAAAGTACAAAGAAGAAAGTTCTGCCCGAAGGAAGAAAGTGAAAGTGAGTGTTAGGCTGATCAGCTGGCTGAGCATAGGAACAGCCTAGAGGGGACAAGGCCTTCTTTCTGTCCAACTTCTTTCCTGTCATTAACGTGAAAGAAGCCATGGGAGCTCACAGAGAGACTTGGCACGTGCGGAGGAGACGCATGTGTCCCTTTGGCAGGGCGCGTTTCAAGCTGGAACCGCATGCTTCCCTTGCCTCGTGAGGCACGGTGAGAGCGGGTGACTGGCACACCGGCTTGACACAAGTGGAGCACGGCGGCACATCAGCGCCTCCTGGATCACTTCCTCAGGTGGCAGGCCTGCACCCCAGGCTCAAACCAGCTCGCTGTGCCAGCAGCCTCTGCTGCACCAGGGACTGATCCCTCCCAGCTAGTGTTCCCGCAGAGCTGCTAACACTGCAGTTTAAGATGTCCATGAGGTAGTGGAAAATGAAACCCAGGCTCTCAGAATTCTGTCTCTACCCTTCTTTTAATGCTGTGCACTGTACAGTGGTGCTAGCCCTAAGTTCAGGGGGTCCATTGGGCCAGGCGCATGAGTGGCTCCACCATGCAAATCTGCATGGGGGGGTGATGTTATTGCCCTTTTCCTGTGACCTGCACCTTGACCAGGGAAGAGAACAGTCTAACATTTGTCAAAGGCCTGTTGCAGGCTGAGTGGTGTGCATATTTCACCCATGCTGGAAATCCATTTGACACGGCCGTAAACACCAGGTGGTAAGGTCTGTGGCTGCACAGACCTCACATTTGAGGAGCGTCAGGCCAAGCTGGTCTCAGAAGATGAAACCAGGGCATGAGCACCCGGCTGGGTGGTCCATCTCCGGGGCCTGCTGTATGCGCCGCTTTCCTGTCAGCCAAGGCCCCTATTTTCATGTAGTGGTTTCTCGGCCACTCCCATGGACAGGGGTTTTCCTTCCCTAACATTTCCAGTTGAGTCCCAGGATGGCGTCTCTGATAACCGACTTTAGCTATTCCTCCA